ACCATTTCCCTGCTACTCGGGCATGAACTGAATGAAAGAACTGGAGACGAGTTTCGGAGTACCAAAAAACTGGAGATCACATCTCTTGGATCAGAATTGGGCCTCATTCCCAGTTCGACAAATTGTACTCTGGATTTGCTGAATGAGTTGATATGGTGATGGATGCAAACAGCTTTCGTAGCCAGTTGATGAGCTGACTTCAAATATGTGGGTTCTTTCCAATGTATATAACATTTCACGAATATATATATATATAGACATGCTTATTGTGTGGGTCAAATCCATTCAAATATCAGTATGGCGGTAAGTTCACCAACGTGTGGAGTCTTTTTTGACCCACATCCAGGTGAACACAGATCCTAGTGATGTGCACTTTCCCTTCAGCTGGGGTCGTTGGACTTTGAGAGCTTGCGCATCAGGCGAAGCCCACACGAAGCCCCTCTGTGCACAGCCTCGGTTTTTGGAGCTGTTGGTGATAGCTTTGGAGCTGTTGGAACTCTTTGCTTGGGTGCAGATGCCAGTAGTTCCAAATGCCCCACCCATCAGATGGCCTTCGTCGTCAGAGGGCTCACGCCATGTCGAGACGACGACGAACTGAGGCCGGCGCCATTGATCGCCCTGGTGGCTTGCCAGGGCCAATCAGGCACGCGTTGGATATATAGAGATGATGAGATGATGTGTGTGTGTGTTTCTTTTTAAAGAACCCTTGGTATGTACAACCCAACATGAAGCGCAAAACCATGATAGCCAATGGCGTGTGCTTTTGGCATGATGTCGGCTTCTTGTTAAACACTTTTGATCCGTGCTTTCTGGTCTGTACCCATCTTGCTTTCTGGTTTGTTGGTGGCCATCCATGGGAATTGCTGGAGTGGCCAATCCCAGCAGAACCTCGACGCCAGGCGAGCTCCCTCCTTGGGTGGGCTTAGCCGTGGTCATCGGTTTGCACCCTGGAAGGTGGTTTGACATGAGGGTCCTTGGATCAGCACAATCAGGGAAGGCTCCTTCATGAAAACCATGGAAGGCTCTTCACTCAGAGAAGGTAAGCTTGCTCATGGTAACAAAGGGCATTGCTATGAACGGAGCGCTCCTGGCCTTACTACTAGTAACAAGAAGCTACTAGTAGCTCCTGTAGCCAAGGGCATCGCTACTAGGAGCATAGAAGCTTTCACCAGACGAGACTTCAGCATCCTGGAGATGGTGCTGATGCAACGGCTTGGTTTTGCTTTCTTTTGCTTCAACCAGAACACCGTATCACACTGAAATGCCGGAGACCTTTTCGGCGGTTTCTGACTAAGTCACTAAGCCAAGCATGATCCCAAAGCTAGGACGTAAAGGAAAACTGTGCTGAGGTGGGCTTTCGTTGTTTTGTTTTGAACGAAATGAATACTGCTTGAGCTATCCTGCGTCCAGTAGCTAGTAGCTTACTTAGCCCTTACTTAATTAAGTAGGCGTCTATTTAACAAAGTAAGGGTGAGGGCGAACAGAAAAGCAAACAAGTTCAATGGCCATTCCTTGACAGGGGTAGTCCCGAAGTTGCCGCCGGGCGTCGCTTGTACCGCCGGGCGTCGCTTGTTCGGTGCCTTTACCGAGGCCACCACCACTGGCACCTCTGGAGAACGGTCAAGGAAGCAGTTGGGGACTTGGCTCTCGGAAGAATCTCCTTCATGTCTTTGGGGATGGAGTGCTTGATGGGGCTTGGTGATTTGGACATCCTCTTCAAGTAAATGCTTTCCCTCGCCTCCCCCAACCTTCCCAGTTGTTAAATCATGCAACCAAACTTAAAATTATGGGGGTGTTTTGAGTCTTTAGCAACTTAAAGGGCTAAAGCTCGTGATTGGCCGCTTGACGCAAGACGACGAACTTCCTTTGCAGCCATCCATCAGTTTTCCAAGGCCGTACCCCATCGTCGGACAGCATCATGCAGTGCGGGACGCCTCCAACGTTGGGAGCCTGACAGCGTCCAAAGTTGGGATCATGCACCATCGATGGATCACCCTGAACCGAGGGCACAAACGCTTCGCTTGCCCGTCCGTTTGTGTCGGATTTAGAGTCTCACTGGTCTCAAGGATCGGATTTGGTGAAAAAAAACTGCTAGGATTGTTTGCTTTTGCTGTAACATTATGTGAAACGCACTTCATGCAAACGACACAAGCTCTAGAAAGATCATTGGAAGACGGAAACTCCTTGTGGGGGATTTCCCAATCTTAAAGAGGGCTGTGATGCCTCTAAGGTTTGTTCGTCTCAGACAGAAATATCAAACATATATGATGTATTAATGTATTGCCGACAGTGTCGAGGGCTAATGCAAAGCTGGACCGACTGACATTGCACTGAGATTCATTGCAATTGGGTTTCACCTTTGTGGCCTTTTGGATGTTAAACACATCATTTATGCGGTTCAAGTATTTGATGCCAAATCTTCTTGTTCAACATATGCACCTTACACCTTCGAATGGCGCAACATTCTTGCACCAATACAGAAACCAGATCAGATTGGTTTTCTCAAGCTAAGATGGTCAGGCCCTTTCCCTTTTGCTTGTTATTGTGATTATGTTCGTCGTTTTGGTCCGCACCGTCTTCCACGCTTCAAACCAAGGCGCCCCACCTCCGGAGAGCTGGAGAAGGACTCGCTCTCGACGCCCTCGGCAGGCGGAAGAAGCACGACGAACAGTGAGTTCAGGTTTCGGGAACGTCCTAGTAGCGATGCCAGGAGCCCCTAGTAGCTTCTTGGTCATAGTAGTAAGGCCAGGAGCCCCTAGTAGCATCGATGGACACGCGGAACGTGGAACGATTGACCCGACCAAACAATCGCCAGAAATTGAGGACTCTTGGGGTTCGTTCTGTGGCTGGCAGGCTCAAAGCGGACGCCACTGGGAGCCAAGCCACGCAGCTTGGCGCCCAGGAGTGGAGGTCCTGGGTTCTCGACCAAGCACAGAAACGATCCTTTTCTTTTGTTTCTTTGAAAGAATTGTTTGATATCGGATCATCAGTCTGAATCAATCTGTGATGTTCTGTTCAGGTCACAATTGTTTAGCAGCTGCAATTGCTGCAGGGCGAGTTATTGTATCTTGGTGAAAAAGGGCATCAGTTGCCGGCGCAGATTCCTTGTTTTGCAGTGATGGACCCCGAGAATGTCTTGCTCAAACATACTCGGAGGAAGCAGTTCAATGAGTTCAACAATTCTGTATTGACAGATGCAAAAGCCATTTTTGGCTTTTCATGTTGCTCACCACTTGTCTTTCTAGTCCTGCTTGTCATAAGGCTGGAGCTTGATCATGGCTGAGGAGTCAACGACGCAAAACCAGCCAAACTGAGATTCTTTGTTGGTTCTTCCGAGACCACCATGGTTTCCATGGGCCCTGGTAGACCAGGGCCCCATCTGCAGGACCACCAGGGCTGAGTGCGAGCCACTCGGGCTGAAGATGTGAATTCGCTGCAAACCCACACGAGTTCCCAGGGCCCAGACCGGGGCAGAAGTCGAGCGAAGTTGACGTTGATGCCATCGCAGGATTTGACTGGGTGCTGGAACTCGTCAGTCATTGCACCGGTGTTTCTTCTTTTTGGCCGCTCACTTGTCGAGCCGCTTTTTATCAGTTCGGAGCGTGAATAATTGCATTGCAAGGTGCACGAGGTGGGTAGGGAAAGATCCGAAACCTCAGAACCTACAAAAAGAGCTCATCGCTACCTTCATTGGGAACCTCGGACCTCGTCGGATCTTTCCCCGCGAGTTTGCCACCTGAAATCTTTCGTTTACAGCGCTGACACCAAGAGCGTGTCGCAAGGCCCTAGCCAGGGCAAATGCTTGTTTCTTGCAAGTGATGAGCAGATTCAATCCTACTCCAACATTCTACAACACAAGGATTCGTCCCACCGAAAACAGACATGGTTGGTATTTGTTGGTATTTCATTTTTCCCATGATCACAAGCTGCTTTAGTCGACACGGGTGTCACCTTCACAGAGTGAGAGACGAGCCGGCCGGAGGATAAAATTTGATTTTGGGAAGCGCAGGCCCCTCCACACAGGGGGCCACCGCAGGGACAAGGCTTGCGGAATGGGAAAGGAATGGCCTGCAACAAGGGGCAGGCTCATAGATGGTCTCAGTGAAGCTTGGGGCATTGACAAAAGGCAGTGTAGTGAAATAATGTGAAATCAGGGTCTATCTCACAGATGTTGCTTTGCTTTGTAGGCTTAGCATGTCTATAGATACCCGTAGTATGTTGGATCATGACTGCCCTGTGGGACCAACCTCTTAGGATCAGGTTCGTCCGCTTCAAAACAGTGCACATGCTCAATGCTCGTATCGTTGAAATTCTGTCGTCAGCATGCTCTAGGCTAGGACCCCTTGCTTCAAAGACTTTGAGAGTGCCATGCCCCGTTGGGTTGCCGAAATTTGTCTCGGGTTGTACAGATGACCGACTTGTGCTGTCAAAATTCGGCGACACAAGTTCAGGGACACGATGTGTGAGACAGGTAGATCGTGAACACAGGGGCTTGGTGCAACCAGAGAGCCACCCGCTGAGCGCGTTTGGCTTCTTTTCTTTTTTCATGCTTATTCCATGTTTGCAAACACCGTCGTGAACTCAGTCCAATTCAGCCTGTCGAGGAACGATCACATGGTTGCACCAAATGCTCAGACTGCGGGTTTGTCTGTGATGACAGTTTGCCCCAGCAGCTATCAGCATTCCAGAAAGGGCGACGAGTGTGAAGGCACAGCTACACAGATCTAGTTCCGGTAGAAAGCGGAGGTGAGGGAGGCGGTTTGATGGCTTGACAACTCAAACAAATCACATGCCTTTTTCACAATTAAAGCAGCCTCCCTTGCGCCTCCGTAATGCTGGAACTTTTGTCATGCGCCTTGATGTTCTAGAAGTGGTGAATGGCGTGGCCTATTTCAGCCAACACAGGCCAACACTCCAGAGATTCATCCTTCCACTCCAGCCAATTCAACCATGCGTTCGGTCAGGCCGAGGCGGCCAACGCCACTGTCATGACAACTCAAGTTTAATGGATGCCGTTCCCTGAGAAATGCTGAACCCCACGGATGAAAAAGAGCCACGTCAGAGGCAGTGCGCAAGCAGAACTCAAGAAGGCAGACGTGGCAAGATTGGTGTGTTTGTGTGTGTATGTGTTTTGGCATCCTTCGACATAGCCTAGGTCCGTAAAGATTCTCTCGCTCACCAGCATGTCAACGAATCTGAGCTTCGCACGTTTGTTTTGTGTCAAAAGCTCCGCACGACACATGGCGAGACCAGGAGAGTCACTCTGGGAGACCAGTGTCACTCATGGGTGGAAAACAAATACAAGAAGCTACTAGTAACAAAGGGTATTGCTACTAGGAGCGAGAACGCTACTAATAGCTCCTGGCCTTTCTACTAGTAACAAGAAGCCACTAGTAGTATATAATGCCCTTTTTACTAATAGCGATGCACCTGTTACTAGTAGCGGTAATCAGTCCATGGCTACATAACCAAACAAGCTCCGGTGTCTTGAAGCGCATCACCAACGGCATTGCGGATTTCACATTGGGCGTCGTACCACTGGTTCTTAGTTCCTAGAAGTGATGTAAGGAAGAAGGGCTCCTTTGTTTTGTTGGTAGGAACCAAGAACTGTAACTGAAGGAACACTTACGACCTACGACTGGCACCTGAATTTCATGGCACCTGCCGTGGGCGAAGATGCAAAATTGGCAGCTTGGTTCTACTGGGCGAAGAAGAGAATGGGCAAAGCATAAGACCCTTGGTGAGTGAAATTGCCCGCGCCGGAACGATCCTTGACATTCATTTTGCCGGAGGCAAAGCATCTGTCATTTTCAATAGCAGGGATTTCAGTGAGCAAGGTCTCATGTCTCATTTTCCAAGCACTTGGGCCTAGGCCACATCAACCTTGTATGAAGAGAATGTGCATTTTGGCACTCATTTGGAGGCCGGGCCCCCTATGCCACATATGCTTCTCCCGTTTGGCGTCTATTTTCGTTTGCGTGCGTCAGCGTTTGGTTCTGGACGCACGCAGCGCTGTCCCCGTGCGTCCTGGCTCAGGTCTGGGGTAGCTGGTACGACATGGAGAAGAGATGCTGGGGCCAGCACCTCACTTGCTGTGACATGTAGGTGGCGGTTCTATTGATTGAGACTCTTACTCAGTCTGCATCCTTCGCGTTTTCAAGCTGAAGGAATCCAAAAGGAAGCGATTGGAGGAAGCACTGAAGCACCTAGGGATTTCCCAAGGGCATTCTTTGAAGCCGCAAAGCCACAACAGTTTGATTTGCCCAAAGATCTCCAACTCCAGGAGGCTATCGCTGTTAGGTTTGAGGCCATCGCTAGTAGGTTGGAGGCCATCGCTAGTATGTGGATGCAGATCCTCCCAGATTCTTGTAGAATTTCATTGCTTCAGATCCTCCCAACATTTTGCTTTCCAGGTTATGCCTGCTGCAGGGTGACCAGGCAGCAACAGAGGCGCTGCCCAAAGACGGTGCGAAACCTGGAGAAAGTCTGCGTGATAGTGACCAGTAGAGATGCTGGTGAGGAATGACACCTGCCCAAGCTTTGATTTATGGGTGAACCCTTTAGTCACTTTAGTCTTGAAGTAGTTCTCCAAGCACTGACATCGAGGCACCATATGCAGAAGGCGAAGAGGAGAGCACTTGGAGAAGCGAAGAGTATGATCAGATCATGTGGGGAACCTCTATATTATAGTGATCCCCAAATAGATAGAAACGGTTTCCAACACATTTCTAGTGGGGATATACTTCTCTTTAGAGGTTGGGAAACCCATTATAGCAAGCTGCAGCGAGCTGTGAGCCGGTGAGAGGAGGAGGAGGAGGACATGGAGGTGAAGGTGGGGACCGGGGACGTGGGTCCAGTGGTGATGATTGATCGCTAGGGACTGGCATTGCTGTGGAAGAATCGATCAACAAAGAACAACTCACACGAGATTCTAACAGCTGCAAAACTGCTGCAAAACAGACTCCAGAACACCATCCAGAAAAGCAAGAAATAACAAACTGCTAGAAATCGGCCTAAAACCACTCCCTGCATGGATCCACAGATCGTTTTTTCTCGACTCATGTGTAATTCACACCTCCGGAAATATTTCACATTTGAGTCCAAATTTGAGCCCACTTTTGACTGTTCCCCAGATAGCTTAAAGCTAGAGGGGTTCTTACTTCTCAATGACTGGGTGGCTGATCGGCGTTTTGGTTCACTGCTGCCGCTGCTGACTTGTCTCCCCACTTGTTTGCCTGTGATCGGCATTTTGTCTGCTGTTGCTGCTCCCCAAGAAGGGTTCTAGATGGCAGTTTCGCCACAGCCTTAGCCCATTTACGGTAGTTCTGTGCGCAAAAAGCTCGTGGAAAGGTCCCACTCGCTGCAGTTCCGACACCCACTTCTTAGTGTCTCCCCGCTTGCCTGTGTTTTCAGAGCCACTCATGGTACCTCACTCTCCGAGGTTCCCCCAGGCAGTCAGCTTCCTCACAGGTTGGCCTTTTCATGCCTTCTCATTTCAGGAGCCCGGCTCACGACCATGGTGAGAACCCTCAACAAAGGCATTCATTTTCCTGCGAGTGTGCTACTGTTCTTTTTGGGAGAGTTACGTCAAGTATATTTGATTTAATTTGATCTATACGTTCATTTCATTGATTGATGTTGGTGTCTTGTGGGATCATCGTTTGGTTAAATGGCTGTTGGGATGTTTCCAAAAAGAAAAGACCTCTACTCCCTTTGATTACGATAGTCACAAATCCAAAACTCCCTGTTTTATGACGCTTTGATATTCGGACTTCTTCCACTGGAACAAGGGAAGGCCTGATAGCAACGGAAGTGGATTGTCAAGAGGATCCTTAACAGTTCTAAACAGGCCGGCGATTGCCATCACGACTAGGCTTCTTCGCCCACTCCCCGTCCCGATCCTGTTTTCACCAACACCTCAGCACGCTCCGGCTGTCCCGAACTCGTCTGAGGTGAGCCGTCGAATGGCGGAGCTCTTGGAGAAGAATCCCTCCTTCACCGGGGACGTGCCCACGCCCGACCAGGCGCCACCGAGCCGCGCGCGCGAGGTTTGCTCCTTGTGGCGTGGAGTGCCTTGGTGCCCTTGCTGAGTCTCGCGGGGCCGTTGTGTTAGCTGTGAATGAGTTTACAGTATATGAACAATGCAAAGGGGGTTTGCGGTGGTCCTCGGTTTTTCCAGAGGCTGAGCACCACTGCAAGATACAGTCATGAACAGTATCAGTATGAGCGTGATGAGCCACCAGAACCCATCCGGAAAGACCACCCAAGTGTTTGACGCCGAATTGTAAGGGAATAACATAGCTATATAATGGCTATATATGTGTGAAACTATGCCTTAAGATTCTTGCCAAGTAGCACCTGCCCGAGACTGCATGAGCTTGGACAGGCCAGATAGATGGGTATGATACGGATAGGTGCCATAAATGTCGAGAGGTTTGCTAAGGTGCTAGGAAATCCTAGTAAGTACTAGATAGGCCTTACTACCAGGAGCAAGGAACAAAGACGCTACTAGGGGCTCCTGGCATCGCTACTAGTAACAAGAAGCTACTAGGGGCTCCTGGCATCGCTACTCGTAACAAGAAGCTACTAGGAGCTCCTGGCATCGCTACTAGTAACAAGAAGCTACTAGGGGCTCCTGGCATCGCTACTAGTAAGAAGAAGCTACTAGGGGCTCCTGGCATCGCAGGGTAGGCCAGTATGGCCGCAGTAACAATGAGTGGTGGTAAACCTCAGGGTGGTTGGGTGGGTTCAGTTTATTGTCGGGTACCATTTTGGCTCAAGGCCAAGCTGGTACCTGACCCCCCCATTGAAGATAAGTGGGGGGGGGTTTGCCTGCCATGGATGGCCTGCTTCCAGACCGAGCAACCCTCGGGACGTGGACCACACTGCGAGAAGCAGCCACGTGGGGGGGTCTGGAAGCGGGCCTGGTGAGAGCTGTGGCACGACAGCTGGGAGATCCGGAGTTGAACGCACTGCCAGTACTGGCCGTGATCCCGATCGAGGTCTTCGAAGCGGCGCTAGGCAGTGCCACTCGTGGTGACAGGTCCTTGCACGAGACCGAGAAGGCACAATGGAGGCTGGTGCTCAGTGCGATCCGGGTCAAGTACGGTGCACCCTCGTTGTTCGCCTCCACAGTTTCCCACACACCGGAGATACCTGCTAGCAAAGGTGTTGCTGCAGGTTCGAGTGGGACCAAGCTCAAGTTGAAGATGAGTCAAATTATCGATCAAGGGGTGGACTTCGAGGTTGAGATGTTGCCCAACACCACCTTGCAGAAGATGAGGTCGCAATACGTGATTTCGGAAGGTGACAACCCCCTCGAGAAAGAGGAAGTGACGGACGCCCAGTTGAGTTGTTTGTTCCACAAGCTTCAATCAGGGCAGCCCCCGTTTGTTGACATGGGCGTGTGGGGACCACATGGTGACAGGATTGCAAGGGCTATGAGGTTTGTGTCACAACAGTGGCGTGACGGGCAATGGAAGGCTGTTGAGTTGCCAGGTGCATCAAGTCTCGACTCCTGGGAGAAGTCCTGGCGAATCTTCAGGACGGCAGCCCTCATGTTGCAGATGGCCACAGCAGCCTCCCTTGATCGGTACGCCTCACAGTTCAGGACGAGGGTACTGCAGCATCCAGACGTGTGGCATCTGGCTGCACAAGCCGACATCAGGTGCAGGACAGAGTTCTGGTCCCAAGAGAAACGCAAGCAGGAGGCATTTCATGCAACGCACGCAGCATTGTCAGCTATCGTACCGGATCAGCCGTGGAACTCGGTCATTCGTGCCAGTGCATCACATTCAGAGTTTTGGTCCAGGGAGTTTGAGAAGCAGGCCATGTTGTACGTGATGAACTCAGCCAAGTCAGTCCCGGCGAAGCCAGCCGGACCGAGCGCGGCAGATGATCAGAGCTGGATGAAACCACAGCCCAAGAAGAAGACAAACAGCTCATCCGGCTTTGACCCTCAACGGAAGGATGGCAGGTATTTCCGGAGCAAAGCAGGCATCAAGATTTGCTATGCTTGGTCGAGGGCAGCAGATGGGTGTTCGAATGATCGTTGCGACAAAGGATTTGCACACATCTGCGAGTGGTGCAGGGCACCCCGCAAGACGATCGATTGCCCTCACAGCCCAGGATGGAATCCAGACAAGAAGGAAAAGCCGAAAGGTAAGGGCAAGAGCAAGGGGGAGGAAACCCCCACAAGGGACAGAAGCACATGTGACTACACTGCCCCTCAGTGGCTCCTCAGGGAGCAGAGAGCGACGTTGAGAGGAAGTTGGCGCTACTGCGGGAGCGGCTGAAACGAAGGGCAGTTGACATTGAATTTGATGCAAGCAAGCGTGCAAGGACTTCACCTCCCAAGGAGTTGGACGTTGGCATTGTTTCACGAGACCGCTGCTTTATGGAGCTCTTTGCGGGTGAGGCTGGACTCACTCAAGCTGTCAACAGGTTGGGGATTCCAGTTTTCGAACCTGGAGAGATCAGAACAGGAGGCCGCATTGCAGTGGGTACAGACCTTTTGTCCAAGGAAACTTTCAAGAAGCTCAAAACAGAAATCAAGTCGAAGAAGGTGAGATGGTTGCACACAGCTCCACCGTGCAAGACCTTCTCGAGGGCCCGAAGAAGGGACAAGTTTGCAAAGGCACGACAACTCCGTTCGGCTCAACAACCGGCTGGATTGGAACCCAAGACATGGAGGGTGAAGGAGGCCAACTTGCTGGCTTCGAGAGCGGCTCAGTTGTCGCTCTTGCAGTGGAAGGCTGGCGGATGGTTCTCGTTGGAAAATCCTGGAGGCTCCTACATCTGGCTTTACGAACCTGTGAAGCGCTTGCTACAGCTTGAAGGCGTGAAGCTTTACAAGGGCGACCAGTGTGCTTTCATGGGAGAGTACGTCAAGCCCACAGGTTGGTTGAGCAATGCAAGATTCATGGAGGTCATTGAGCGGCGTTGTCCGGGGAGGCCTGAACACCAGCATGAACCGTTGATAGGCTTCACCCTTGACTTTCATGGCAACAAGGTTTTCAAGATATCACTGGCTGCAGAATATCCACAGGGCCTATGCATTGAGTTGGCAAAGGCTTACGCCAAGGAGCTGGAGACGACCAGAAATAGGCCGGACAGCTGGAAGCTAGTGGTGAAAGAGGATGCCAAGTTCAAGGACCTCTTTTCCAAGAAAGCATTGGTTGAGCAAGAGAATGAGCAGTGCATTGGGGGCCTCAGAAATCCTTGGCATGCAGTACAGATGGTGCCTAAGTGGTTGCAGGTTGGGAACATTGGTTGGCGCGTGTTGCAGTCGAGTCTGGGACAGTTGAACAAGCTTAGCAATCCTACGATGTGGGTAGGCAAGGAATCAGGAGAACTACCAGAGCATGAGTTGACCTGGTTGAGGGCGAAGGTAGCCAAGGTCTTTGGTTGCGCGCCCCATGTGCATGGGCTCTGGGGGGCCTTGCTGGAGCGATTGGTGCACCTGAGTGACGACCCAGACACCGAAGCAGCGAGCTGGCCAAGAAAGGGAACACCTTTGGGCATCGTCAATGAGATACCCGTGGGAGGAGTGTTCCCGGAGGTGGAGGAAGAAGACCCGTGGCAAGAAGGCGAGAAGCTAGACTCATTAGCAGAGTTGGAAGGAGCGTTGAACAACTACATGTCATACGAGGAGGAGAAGGAGGCCGCAGATGCACTTTTCCAGAAGGAGGTGGATAAAGGGTTCGTGCGTTGGGCCAAAGACAAGGAGGTCCTAGAAGACATGTATGGGACCCTGGTGCCATCGGCCATTGGCTACAGCTCAAAGATCAAGCTGGATGGAACGGTGAAGGGTCGGCTAGTGCATGACCTGAGGAGGAGTCAGGTCAATAGCCACATCACCCTGAAAGAAAGACTCGTTTTGCCCAGGCTGAGGGATGCAATGGAGGATGCACTCCACCTGCTTGAGACACGGACACCTGATGAGAAGGTGAGATTTATGAGCCTGGACTTCTCCGACGCCTTCAAGCACCTGCATGTCAGACAGAATGAGTACAGATACAGAACAGTGTTGTTCGGGGTCAAAACAGGACCTTTGGTCTGGGGCAGAGTTGCAGCGTTGATAGCAAGGTCGACGCAAGCATTGTTCCATCCAAGTCGATGCCAGCTACAAATCTTTGTTGACGACCCCTTGATTGTGGCCAGGGGTACCGAGACTCAGCTTAGCAGCGTTTACAACATTGTATTGTTGTGGTGGTTGACATTGGGTCTGAAGGTGGCTTGGTCAAAAGGATCAGTGGGATCCAAAGACGGCTATGTCAAGGTCATGGTGACCGCAAGCAAGTTGGAGGAGTGGAGAATGCTCCTCGAGAAGTTTGACACCAAACCCTTGGTGCGAAGAAAATTGGTGCAGCAATTCACAGGCAAGATGTCCTGGGCGGCGGGCTTCGTCCCGCAACTCAAGCCATTCGCCCGGATGCTGTACGCAGCCTTGACATCCAATCCAAGCAGGTTGCAGGGCCAAGGACAGGTCTATCACGGGCAGATCGAGCCGGCGCTGCGCTGGATCAAGCGGTTCCTATGGAGTTGGGGACCGGAAGGTCTGGAAAGAACAGTGTATGCGCACACTAGACATCGGTGTCGGCTAGATTTTCTGGTGGACGCCTCGCCGTGGGGCGGGGGAGCAGTACGGTTGTGTGCAGGCCAGAAGTTTTCTCCCTCACATGGGCGGCTACAGATGAGGCAAAGACTGGTGCAGTGATTGGTGAGCCTGGGTCACAAGCACTGTGGGAAGCTTACATGATGCTACGTTGTTTGTGGGCCTGTGTGAAGACAGGTGATCAGGGCTATATCAGGATTCGTGGAGACGCACAAGGAGTTCTGTTTGCCCTAGTGAGGAGAGCAGCGAAGGCACCTTTGCTGAATGAAGTCACAAAAGAAGCGGCGCTGCGCCTCGCTGTCCACTTCGCTTCACTAGAAGCGCCGCGCCTGTGGAGCGAGCAGAACGTGTGGGCAGATGCCCTTTCCCGCGGCCAGATGCCCAGAGAGCTTTCTCACCTGCCGAGGGTGGAGCGCGCGCCTGAGCTGTGGCACGAAAAGTGAGAAACAGTGAGGGGGAGCGCGTGTTCCCACACTGAGAGGGCATTCCGAAGAGGGGGAGTGGCCGACCGAGCAGGGGAGACCCGGAGGAAGGGAGAAACCAGCCGAGTCACGTCGCTCGTATCATGCGATCAGCGTGAGTGTCGGCCGCCCGCGTGCAGGGCAACTTCAATGCCGAGATGGGCATCACACGTGCGCCAGGGAGTAACCTGGAAGGGAGGGGGTTGGAACATGTCATTTGCTGTGTTGAGTTTGACAAGCAAGAGACTGACCGCTGTGTTCGTGCCCCGTTTTCGGTCGGAGTTTCGTGTTTTGTATGAGCCGTTTGACGTGAGAAGATTGTCAACCGATCTCCCCCGGGAGACGGCAGGGACGTTGTGGCCAGGGCTGCTGACGCAGCCCAACGCACCTGGAGAGACGACTCCAGTTGAACCAGGCATGGCGGAGAGCCTCTTGAAACACGTCGCACGCATCGCGTGTGCGCACCCGGTTGAGGTCTCCTCTGCCATCAGTTGCTTGAGTTGTGATGCTGGTCCATACCATCCTGGTCGCGAACTAGATCATAAGTGCCCCAGACACCCTCCCGCCGGTGTAGATGGGGCGGACGAATTGGGGCTAGCTTTGGGATCTGCGTTGGATGACTGCAGGTTTGACAAAGCGCTCCCAGGTGACACGGGCAGAGAGTCAGAGGCTTCGTGGCAGATGGTGAACCCGGAGGTAGAAGAGGAGTCGGAAGGCAGCAGTGGTGGGGAGGAACTACCAGCAAAGCTGCCGAAGATCTACACCGACGACAACGTGCAGGCACGTATGAGGAAAGGTGCACTCCTGGCAGTGAACAAGCCAGCCACAGAGCTGGAGACACCCAAGGAGGTGGAGCACGCCGGCTACAGCGGCTCCAGCTACTCCCTTTAGGAGCACCGAGCCTGGAGTGAAACCGTGTGCCACGGGCAACAGAGCAAGGGGTCAGGAAGTAGCAGAAGACCCTGAGGAGTTCAAGAAAGCCCTGGAGGAGTTCCAGAATGACAAGTTTGCAGCCTCGAACCAAGCGACGCACAAGGCCAGGGTCCAATGGTGGCTTCATCGAGCCAAGAGCCTGGATGTGACACCCTTCCCGCTGACTGTGCAGACAATCGATATGGCAGGAGCCCTACTGAACGTACTGGCCTACGGCCAGTACAGGTCCTCAGCCATGAACTTCGCAGCCTTGAAGAGAGAACATGTGCTCCTGAGCCACCCATGGGCGGATGACCTCACCCTGGCCATCAAAGACGCAATCAGGTCACGCGTCAGAGGCATTGGGCAGACAAGCAATGCCCCGCTCCAGATAGAGTCTGGGGGTTTGGGCTGTGGGGTAGTGTCCCTATACCTGCCGGCCTCCAAGACAGACTCAAAGGGCGAGGGCGCACTTCTCTGGGCTGCTTATGCGAGACCCTACCGAGTTTGTGCCCAGCGGCCGCGGCGAAGAGGCTGCTGCAGGCCGCCGTGGAAAGTGGACATCAAGATGAGAATCCATTCCTCGTCACTGACAAGCCCAAGACACCTCCGACCAAGCAGGGCATGATCAAAGCTTTCCGTCGAGTGGCAATCACGATGGGACTATCCGAGGAGGAAGCCCAGAACATCACAGGCCACATGCTGCGACCTGTGGGCGCTCAGTTTATGGCGAGAAAAGGCATTGAGTTTTACAAGATCCAGCTCTTTTGTCGTTGGGGCAGCGATGCAATACTCAGGTAGCTGAGGGAAGTCCCACTGGAGAATGCAGATCAATGGCTGGCCACCACGATGTCCGTGGGAGAGGTCATGACGCAGTCAGGCAGGTTGCGTGAAGCTGTTTGAGACGGTAGCAAAGACGCTCTAATCTGGCGGAAAGGAAAAGCCAGCACTCGTTGGGTTGTATAAGAGGGGGTGAGGGGAGTTCAGTACTCCACACCCCAAGTCCGAGAGCTATCGGCTGATGTTGCGACGTACGAGCAAGGGCTCACCTGCCTCGACATCAAACCGAGACCGTTGCTGGGAAGGCAGGTCATTTGCTGCAACCTGGAAAACGGGATGTGGTGGGTTCTTGGGAGTTTTCTTCTTGTGTGGAACGACGCTTGTTACTAGAAACAAGAAGCTACTAGGGGCTTGGCATCGCTACTAGTAAGAAGAAGCTACTAGGGTCTCCTGTAGTATCAAGAAGCTAACTAGGGGCTCCTTGCATCGCTGCTAGTAACAACAAGCAAACTAGGGGCTCCTGGCATCGCTAGTAACAAGAAGCTACTAGGGGCTCCTGGCATCGCTACTAGTAA